TGAAACTTGAGTCTTCAGTTTTTTCTTTGGTTCGTTCAGCTTGACAAATGCCAAGAATGTTCTCTCCTTTTGTTTTTCTAACTCCAGATCTTTGATGATTTAATTATAATACTTAAAATTTTGAGCTGCCTTTGAAATCTTCTGTTCAGCTCTTTTACCTCATCATTTCTTCCATTTCCTTTAGCTATTCTACATTCAAGGGCAAGTTTCAGACTCTCTTCTGACATCGATATCAGTCTTTTCTTTCTTTCCTGTCTTTTTAATGACCTTTTGCTTTCTTCATGTATGGTGTTCTTGATGTCATCTCACAACTCGTCTTGTCTTATGTCATTAGTGTTCAATGTGTCAAATCTATTCTTGAGATAGGCCTCTAAATTCAGGTAGGATATACTCAAGGTCATACTTCAGCTCTCATAAACTTATTTTAATCTTCTTCAGCTTCAACTTGAACTTGCATATGGGCAATTTATGGTCTATTTTACAGTCAGCTCCTAGCCTTGTTCCGACTAATATTGAGCTTCTTCATTGTCTCTTTTAACAGATGTAGTCAACTTGCTTCTTTTGTATTCCATCTGGTGATGTTCATGTGTATAGTCACTATTTACATTATTTAAAAAGGTATTTCCAATAAGTAAGTAATTAGTCTTACAAAATTATATCATACAATCTCTAGTGACATTTCTACCACCAACGCCATATTTTCCAACTACCAATCCCTCTTTATTTCCAACTTTTGCATTCCAATCACCAGTAATTATGAATATATCTTGATTGCATATTTGATCAATTTCAGACTGTGGAAGTTGGTAAAAATCTTAAATTTCTTCACCATTGCCAATAGTAGTTAGTGCATAAGTTTGAATAATAGTCATATTAACTGGTCTTTCTTGTAGGCACATGAATATTATCCTATCACTGACAGCGTTGTACTTCAGGATAGATCTTGAAATGTTCTTTTTGGCAATGGAATGTGACACCATTTCTCTTCACTTTGTCATCCCTGGCATAGTAGACCATATGATTGTCTAATTCAAAATGGCCAACACCAGCTCACTAATGCCTAAGATATAGATCTTCAAGCATTCAATTTTATTTCTGACAACCTTCAATTTTCCTAGATCCATACTTCATACAGTCCACATTCCAATTATTAATGGATGTTTCCAGCTGTTTCTTCTCATTTTGAGTTGTGCCACATCACCAAATGAAGGTCTCAACAGCTTTACTCCATCCATGTCATTAAGGTTAATTCTACGTTGAGGAGGCAGCTCTTTTACAATATTATTTTTAGTGCCTTTCAACCTGAAGGGCTCATCTTCTGACTCTATAGCAGACAATTATCTGCTGCTATCCATAAGGTTTTCACTGGCTGATTTTTTTTTTTTTTTTCTCCAGAAGTAGATTGCCACATCTACTTATGATTCAAACCAAAACCAAACTCACTGCTGTTGAGGCAGATCCAACTCATAGAGACCCCTCCTTGGGTTTCTGAGGCGTTATCACTATGGAAGTAGATTGCTCAACCTTCCTTCCTAGGAGAGGCTGGTAGGTTTGAACCACCAGCAGTCAAATGCCTTAGGCACTATGCCACCAGAAAAAAAAAAAAAAAAAACCTGAGAAAACTTAGATGGGAGATTACTTTACTTGATAAAATTTATAAACCAAAAACTAACAGCAAGCATAATACTCAATGCAGAAATACAATCTCATTTCCTTTGATATCAAGAACAAGTCAAGAGATGTCCACCAATAACAAGGTTCTGAAGGTCTGGCTGACCACTTAGACCTAAAAGAAGAAATAAGCTAAAGGACTGAATGGTAATCAAGTTGTCACCATATGCAGATAACAATTACAACTATTAAACAAGTTCAGAAAATGACCAAATACACAACTTACAAAAAATTAATGAAAAATGGAAATTCTAAGTTGGGTAATGTCAGTTCTTGCCTACAGCTCCAGTGGTTTCTCATCACACAGAGAACAAAATCCAACAAACTTCACCCTCCTCTCAACACCCTTTACAGCCTGGGTCTACTGCCTGCCTCTTCAGCCTCAATTTTCTCCTGAGTCCTTGGGTGCCTGAAGCGACTCCCACATGCCAAGTTCATTTTCACTTCAGGGCCTTTGCACTGGCTATTCTATCCTCCTGGAGCGCTCTTCTCTAGCTTTTTGTCTGATTGACTCTTGTACTGTGGAACTCAAGCATCACCTTTTCTAAGAGGCCTCCTGTTCAGTGTGTCTTGCTCCTTCCCATCACCCTCTATACCCTCTACTAGACTTCATTCACAGAGACTCAGAAGGTCATAGCCCCTAAATTCCTCTCATGGACCACAGAATCTTGCACATAGTAGGTGCCTGGTACATAGTTGTTGACTGGCCAACGGAAGTCACACCCTCCATACTGCCCCTTGATCCTTCTCCTACAGGTGGTCCCAGCCACAAGGCCCTCACCTCTCTGCAGGAGCCTGGCAAGGCCCCAACGCAGGCCTCCAGCAACAGCCAGCCAATGCAGATCGCCCACTAGAGTTTCTGGATACCACATGGAGTCTAGGGAGGTAAGATGGCAGCCAAAGCATTTGAGGGCTGGAGACTCAGTTCCTGAGCAAGGGTCAGCCAAAAGTTTCATGCAGGCAAGAGGAAAATGAAGGAGGACACCTCTGGAGGCTAGGGCAGAAGCAACAGAGACAGAGCTTGCTCAAAGTGGCAGTCTGAGGTGAGTAGGAGACTTAGGAGGGGGTCAGATGTGCACGGAGACATCTGAATGAGAAAAGGGGTTGGTTCTGATGGCTGGAGGGCTACTTAATGGATGAGCAGGGATCTAGGGGAATCTGAGAACTGACGAGGATGTAAGGAAATCTGAAGTCTGAGAACTCAGTCTGAGATAGGAGACATACAGGTGGGAAGGGTTGTGGGGATAGGATTTGGCCTGGGAAAGGAGTTTAAGGGCTTATGGAGAAGGTCTGAAGGCTTTTAACTGAAAGAGGGGTCTGAGGATTAAGATCTGAGAGAAGGTGGGGTCCATGAGCTGTGAGAGGTGTCCTAGAAAGGAAGGGGTCTGAGAGTAGGGTTTGCAGGCTGGGGAAAGGAGACTGAGGAAGAAGACTGAGGGTAGGGTCTGCCTGTCCGGCTGTGAGAAGGTCTGTGGGTGGGAGGTCTGATGTGCCTGTATGTTCGGGTTAGGTTCTATACGCTGGGTACGATGTCTGAGAATTGTGTCTGTGGACGAGATCTGATAAATAAGTGGGGGCTGAGAGATGAGGGGCCTACAGATTGGGGTGGGGTCTGAAGGCTGTAGGAGGGGTCAGGGAGAGGGAGGGGTCTGGGGGCTGGAGGAGTAGTCTTGTAGAAATCTGAAGCCCGGATAAGCGCTGGGGGGCTTTTGGGAAACAGACCTTAGTCCAGGTGGCTTGGCACCTACCTTTAGGTTCGAATAGAAGCACCACGTGACTGCCACGTGACTCCAGACACACTAGCCGGAATCCTAGGCACATGTGCATCAGTGGCCTCCCGCCCTGCTTGCACAGTAACCTTCCTGCCCTGAGAGGATCCATCACCAGACTGGAGTGACTCTCCAAGAAGAGACAGCAACATCTGATATCTACCCCAGAGCTTTGGGCTCAGTCCTGCACATTTCCTCCCCACCCTCAAGGACTTCTTTGGAAGTCTTGGGTCCTTTCTGATCCCTCTAGATGGCTATACTTGGCTGTTTTCTTTCCATGTTTCTCTGTCTCTGATCTTGCCCCAGCTTCTCCTGAGACCCAGACCTAGGGGTCCCATGGTGTTCTGAACACCTCCCCACTGACATTCCCTGGGACCCTCACATCCATGGGTTTCCACACTGACCTCAGTATCTCCCCAAACGTGCTCTTCCTGCCGTGTCTTTGGCCCGGAGTTGACCCTATGTCTCTCTCTCCAAGCCAGAGGCCTGGGCCTCACCCTGGACATTTAGCGTCCATCAGTCTCCTACCCTTCCCACTAGCCCCCTCCGCTCTCCCCACGGCCCTGTCGAGCTTCAGCCCTCCTGCTTCCCTGACAGCTTCTCCCGGGCTCCCAACCTCAGCTTCCCTCATCTGGCCTGGCACCCTCCGCATGGCAGCCACAGGGGTTCTGTCCCTCACCTGCTTAAAACCCTCCCTGCCTCCTCAATACCTGTTGGACAGAGTCCAAACCTTGAGGTCTGGCATCTAAGACCACATCGTCTGGTCCTGGTCACCCCTCCTGCCTTGTCTCCACACTCCTCAATCTGTTCCATACTCCTCTCTATTTGAACATACCCATGCCTTTGAATGCTCTTCTCAATATTCACCTGGTTACTCATATGAATTTCTTTTCAATGAAGCCCTCTTGAGCCAAGTCTGGGTCAGGCATCTTCTCCTGCCTCCCACAGCCCCCAAGGCCTCCCCCAATAACCCCAGCTATACTGCTTGGGCTTCCAGCATCACAGACCTGAACACTCTTGGCTGTCACTGTGTGAAGGTGTCACTTTCTGTCGCTCTGTCACCCCCCTCACTTGCCCATGAAATGGGGCCTAGAGTTGTCTTCATCAGGTTGTGTCCCCAGCATTGTTCACCTCCAGGCTAGCCCAGAAGGGGCCTCAGATAAACGCTTGTTAAATGAGGGCAAGGCTTGGCTCTTCCTTCTGCCTCTCCCTGCATGTGTGGCCCTGTTCTGGCCTCAGTGCCTCAGTGTCTGCTCTTCATCTGTGAAATGGGCACCTAGTGAGGTGAATCACGTTCCTACATCAGCCACTGACCGGATGAGTCGAGCTGATGCCAGGCCCTTCCCAGCACAGGGTACCTCAGGGTTAGGAGTACGCTGCATTAGTCTGCTCAACGTCCCTGCTATGCTATCTGAAGATGCCTCTTTAGCAGTGGAGCCCCTCAATCTGAGTCCAGAGGGGCCCTTCCCTGAGGAGTGGCTTCAGTGGAGGACAGCAGCCTGGGCAGTGGCTCAGGACCTTTATTGACCACATGACCCCACAGATGCTGACCGGTGTCTCTCAGGCCCTCCCCAGCAGCCTCCGCCGCAGCTCTTTGCGGAGCAGCTCTTGTTCCCTGCGGGCACCCTGCAGCACGCTCTGGTTCTCCTGGGCCCTCCGAATCAGGTAGGGGATCACCTCCTCCAGGGAGCCATAAGGGATGGACTTGTACACAGCATAGCCGGCTTGCCCTGCGGGGAGAGAGTGGGAAGCGTGTGGCCCAGGGCTTGTGGAGAGGCTCCCCTCTAGGCCCCTTCTGGAGCAGACTTCTATTTCTGAGAACATGACAGATAGGTGAGTTGGATAAACTTTCCCACTAAAAAACCAAAATCTTAGAGCAGATTAAAAAAATAATAATAATACTAAAAATGATGCCAAAAAATAAGGACTTATTAATCCAATAATTAAGAGAAAAGCTAACCTTTCTCTTAATAAGGGTTAATAAGAAGTCAGTTTTTGTCCAGGGAATGGCCTTGGAGAGAAAAATCCATTACGAGAGATGTAACCATGGGTTAGCCCCTTCAGAGTTGCAACACAAGTTTGCATCCCTGGGATGTCTCAAGAAATCTCAAGCTGTGAACTTAGGGTAAAATGGTTTTGTACTCCTTAGTACCTGGCAGAGGAAAACATAAATCCTTTTGTCTCAGGATTTGGGAAGCAGCACAGTAAAGATAACAAGGCACACAGGACACAGACACCATGACTGAGTACCAGAAAAGCAACAGACAGCAGATAGAGAGACACATCTCTGCAAGGTCTTTCAGCTACTGCAATAGCAGAGCTATCTGGAAGCATGTGGAGGCTGGGCCAGCTGCAGGTTCTGGATGGGAGCCTGGCCAGACATTGGTTGGGAATAGGAGTAGAGATCTAATTGGGAGGGAATGAGGGCTGGGGAGGGGAACCGACAATTCACGTACCCAGTGCCAGGGAGACATGGTCACACATCCCCAGAAGTTGTCCAAAACAGACAGGCCCATCCAGAGGAATGCCCAGCTCACACATTCTACAAAAAAGGGACACCCCTTTAATCCAGATGGGGGATGGATCCAGAACTGAAAGTGAGCTATTATACACCTATATGATTTCCAGTTATTAAAATAGTAAAATACTAATGAACTTGATGGTAATAACTTGAGCTCTCTGGGAGCTACCCAGGAGATCTTAGCCCTTCTCCGGGATCCTAGCACCTCCCCATGCTCCAGCAAATAAGGATGATGCTTTGTTCAGCCAGAGGCCTACAGGACTCTACTCCAGTGCCTAGCCACAGTGATTCCTGGGTGTGGCATCAATACTCAACACTCAAATATTTTGCGTATTTCCTTGGAACCCCTCCTAAACCTAATGGCCCCATACCATTCCTTCCCTTGTGGCAGGTCCACCACCCTCTGCCTGGCATGTGAGCAAAGGAGAAGGAGGAGGCTTCTTTAGATATCTGGCTCCCTTCCTTTGCCTCATACCGCTTGGTTGCCTGGTGAGCAGATTCCTCATTGTGGGAAGCCACCATTAGGTGGCACATGGGGCCACGGCGGGACACCTGGGTCAACATCAGCTCCAGACAGCGGCTGTAACTGAAGAGATATGCTGGATTCAGCTCAGGTAGTGATGAGGGTCAGGGCCCACGGGATTGGGGACTTCTGTCCTTGGGAAGGTGGGTGCTGTTAGGGGTAGGGTCTCTGGAGTTAGGAAGTATCCCCACTCCTCCTCCACCAGCTGTGTGACACTGAACACATTGCATCCCTTCTTTGAGCCATTTTCTTCTTTTATAAAAATGTGAGTTCACCTAACACTACTGCTGTGACAGTGGAGTGAGATGAAAGTGACACAAAGGTAGTTTCACAGTAAAGGGTCACAGTCACACACAGAAGACACTGTGTGCCCAAGGTTATTCTCTACATGACCTTGGTTATAGAACAAGATTAGAAACAAGTGTTCATTAGTGGAGAACTGGCTAGCTGAACTTTCGTAGAGAATAGCGGAGTACCATGTAGCTGTCAAAAAGAAAACATTCTGAACCTGATAAAGAAAAGTAAAAAGACTGGTGAACACTTTCTGAGCTTGCTGTAGGCCAGATGCCACCCTATGTACTTCACGGACTATGCTGGGTATTCTCTGTTGCCTCCTAGATATGTTCTCTGCCCTTTAGGACTTAAGTCCAGGAAGGCATCGGGGAGATCAGAATGTGGGGGGAGAAAGAGCTCAAGGTATTTCACCGCTTAGCCCCCTCCTTCACTCACATGACTGCGTGTTGTGTATGGCCACAACTCTTGCCAGGTGGCCCCTCTTCCTCAGCTACAGTGTAGGGGCCAAACAGTTTCCTGCTCTTGTGTGTTTGGGGTGCTTCACCATTCTTTGTGAGTTCCCTTAACCTTGCTCACGCTTCTATAAATAGTCCTTTCACTAAACTCCCTCTAGATAAACTCCTTTGCATGGAATTCTGTTTCCTCTGGGATCCTGCCTGACACATATACATTTGCTCGTCCAATCCTCGAATCAACTCCGTGAAGTAGTAGTATTATCATCCCTGTGGTAGTTATATTTGTGTGTCAACTTGGCTGGGCCTGGTTGAGTGGTTGGGCAGCTGGTGGTAGTTATTCCCCATGATGAGACTGGCAATCAGCTCCGTGGTGGGATCTGCCACAAGCAGCTGAGTAGCTGCCTTTGGGATGTGGTCTGCTTCCTGTAC